CCAAAAGACATTCTTTCTTCCCAAGCTCTCAGTTCCAGGGATTTTTTTCCCCTCCCTTGAAGCTTATGAGACTATATAAAGCAGTAAGTATTTTTAGCATAAGCACTAATGACCAGGGATATTTTTGCAGTTCTCTAAGACTCAAAAAATACATGGGGAGAAAAAAGGCCATTGCTCATTTTATAGAACAACTCTTAACAGTAAAACCTATCTCTGCAAATAGGGTAAAAAAAAAAAGATTTGAAATAAAATTATTTCTCAAACCTCAATGGCTGTGGCTTTTCCAAAACTTTTTACTGCTAATTCACAAGTAATTCTGGCGTGTACCAATGCCTCAGGGGGGTTTTGGTGATGCTTGGATTTTTTTTTCACTATAAAGTACTGTATTTACCTCTCATAGGTACTTAAACAAAGGATGCTACAGTCTAATTTGTATGCTGCTGAAATTAAGATATTATACAGGCTGTGCACTTGTGCTTGACCTTCATCTTTTGTCCTTTTAATCTCAATAGCAGTTGTAGAAGCAGCAAGTAGTATTGGTGCTGGAATTTGGGCATTTTAGTGTTCTTTTAACAAAGTTTAGCTTTCAGGAGTGGGAACACCAACCAGCCAGCCAGATCTCTCTGTACTATCAGCAGGCCCTTTATAAACAGCGTATTGAGGTTTAAGAGTTGCTGAGAAAGGCCACGTGTTTTAGTCACATGTGTAACTTTTTCAAGGAAGAGAGAAACTTTCTAAGACTTACTCATTACATAAGTTGGGATGGTGGCCATCCTTCAAAAGGCTGCACAGAGCACACTTCATTTCTATAAAAGAAAATCCTTGGATATTTTTAGGAGCGCAGAAGTTAGTTGTTAAAGAAAGGGTGAGATCAGGCTTTGTTTCTAAGAGAGAATGAAATCAACTGGACTCCTGGTAAGCTGGGAATAACCAGGAACCTGGACAATGGAAGGCAGGGAAGAGGTTCAACTGCAGGAGACCCAATACAGATCTAAGACTGCTCTTATAAAGCAAGCAGGAACATGTTACCCTACCAAACAAAGCCAGAGGCCTGGTCATCAGCACAAACACAGGAGACTGTTCTGTTCCAGAAAGGAAACAGATTAATATAAATGTAAAGAAATTTACCAGGTCAGATGTGAACAATTCTGAGCCTGTTACCCCCTCTTTCCTATTCCTTCCTCTCAGATTTTCACCAAGGACTCTTACAAACACAGCTGCTTTGCGTTTTCCCCACTTTCCCTTACTGTTTTGAAGCGGCCAAGGGTTGTCATCTCAACAAGGAATTTGTATTTTGTTTGGTCTCAACGCTGGCTGTGGTACAAGTGACCGAATCTCGTGTTGCAATAAAAGACTCTTGACCTCAGTGTCAATGAGAGCTGCGCTGGGTGTCATCAAAGCTGATGTCAGCTATTTGCACCTTGACTATTTTGTCCAGCTGGCTCCTCTGTTTCCATTTCAACTTCACAAATCAGCAAGTTAGTTACTTTCCGCAGCTCCCTTAGTTTCCTCCCTGATTAGAATTAGCTGATAGAAACTGAAAGGAATGAAAACTTGTCTGTGTTCCCAAGGTCAAGGCTAAGCATCCAGCGCTGCTCAGACCCTCCCAACCAGGGGAGCCTCCAGAGGATGCACTTGCTTTCTGCCTGATTTGTGCCATCCCTCTGCTCCAGTGACTTCAGTCTTTTTGTTTTTTATTCCCCCCACGTCAACATATTTTCCATGCCAACATGGCTCACAACATACCAAGCTCTTTCTGCTACTTTGTATGTATAAGTAAGCAAAGCAAAAAAGCCTTTCATTACTACTCCTGCCTCTGAGATGTGGAGCTGGGATATGACTTCATCCTAGAAAAAATGCAAAACCAAACCCAAACCAGTTGTCTCCTGGGGTTTTCTTAGCTTTTAGCTCATCAGAAACATTTTGTGTGGTTTCAGTAACCGTGCCTAAAACAGACTCCATCAGGGTCAGCAGTACAAAACTAAGACACAGTATTTTCTGAGATCGGGAGACTGTATAGCCTACTTCAATGTGTAAAGTGATGTTTCTCACGGCTCTCACGGGACCAGAGGCAAAATAAACATGCAACAATGAAGCGATAAGAGGGGAAAATTAAAAGAGCTTATTGGGCAAACCCAGTCTCTGGCTGTGCTTTGTTCACACTGACTAAATTATTACAAAATAGAAAATAACCCTCACGTACCCAAATGACAAAAATTTACTGCGGTAATTCCTGAACTTGAGGGACCTTGAGAGCCTCTATTACCAATTTCTTTTAAAGTTTTAATACATCAATAACATATTTCTGTAAGAGTAGATTTTTTTCCTTTTGTCTCTAACACTCAACTTGGGTAATTAGAAGGGAAAGAGTTTATCCAGAAGCACCAGGAGACATTTCCAAAACAACACCCACACAAAGGAAGTTCTCTACTTCTATTTTGCCTTAATAACTACTTTCTGTAAGGGATTTTTAACTTTTTTGCAGGAAGTTGTTTTATTCTCATGGGATTGATTTAAAACCAATTTATGTATTGTATAGAGGAAAGAGTTATGAGTAGGGAGAGATGTAAGGAAAGAATTGCTTGAGAAAGAGTAATCAAGGTACAGGCATTTGAACTATTCAGCAGTTTAAAGAGGATTAAACCATCACGTTTCCAACTCCAAGCACATGTGAAATATCTGGTGTTTCATTTTTTAAGCAGTGTTCTCAGCTAGAGCTTTCCTCCATAAATCTTCAATGTATTTTGCAATGGAGTAGCTAATCCCTACATTAATTTTATATGTGGGGAAATAAAGTCACTGATACACCCCCTGACACCAGCAATCACTCTAACACTCTGGACACTGAGAGTGCAGCCGCTGCTGCACTGAAAACCCCTCTGGGCCTGCTTTTGTGACACTAACTGGGACAGGAGCTTCAAGATGTATGTTACGTGCTGAATAGAGACAGTAAGTGGAATCGTTTACACACCATATAGCTCTGCCATTACACAGCTATTAGAAAAGGAAAAACGTGTCGCTATTTTAGACCCCAGGCAATAAAAGGAATGAAGAAGCCAAATGTTCAATATTGCGGTGGAGACATACACAGCACATGGCTGGGACTTTTTTGTTGTCTCTCCTGTTTTCATGCAGTGGAAGTTCAGTGTTGACTCCACCGTCATAAAAAGCAGAAGCTGACCCTAATTGCTCTTTTATTTTTATTTTTTTAATAATGAAAGCTCAGTATCTCCTGTGATTTCATGACTCATCGAGCTGAAGGTTTAAGAAGCAAAACCTGATATAGACCATCATCCCCCACTCCCCCGAATGATCACTGATATCCCGGCTTCAGTGCAGCCTCTGCATTACGATCCCCACTTCCTCTACCTTTTGTAGCTGATCTCTCCTTACCTGAGGATTCATCTCTCTGATCTTCTGTTGCCACTGCATTTTTCTTCAGATGATCTACTGTTTCACATAAACCTGAAAATAACTGTGCTTGTGGGTGCTTTCAGGGTACTGAAATTTGTTTTCTGTTTGTTTTTCAAGCAGTGCAAAGACCTTTCTGATCTTTTACCACACACATTCCAGATGCGGGAGACAGGAGACCGAGGCATCCCTGCTCTGCCTGAACCAAAGGAGAGTTTTCATTTCAAAAAGGAAGAACAAAGTTTACTTTGGGTTTCATACCTTGGCTGAAAGAAATCTCACAACTCTTCCTTTTTGGAAATTAACTTAGCTTCTAGAAATATCAAAGCGTTGTTCTGCTCAGGTGAGGAATTAAAGTCAGAGAACCCATATACACATTCCAAATTACCCCTGTTACCTGCTTAGAGGGCCAGGCCCGTATTTTTCAAGTGAGCTGTCAAAATTGTCTCTATCACTGAACTTCCTTGACCTATACTTAAATAAAAGGGAATCCATAACACGAAACCCCCTCACAACACAGTGGTGTCCCGGAGGAAAAGACCATTTGGTGCGAGGTTTGAGGTGGAATGGGCTGTGGAACAGGGCTCCTGGAAATCCCTGGCAGGAGGGGAGCCAGCCCTGCAGCCACTGCCCGCTCACAGCTCGGTGTGCAGCGCTGATACACTGCTGTGCCAGCCATGCCCAGGAGCTGACCTCTGCGTCCTCCAGGATGCCACGACAGAGATTAGCAGCGTTAATCCCAGTGTAACAAGAGGGCTCATTTTGTCTGGCCTATAAATAAGTCCAGTGATAATATAATCTCTTACTTTAAAAAGAATAAAAACACATGGGTGGGGATGGGGACCCCAAAGCCAAATAAAAACTCACCAGGGTAACCTAAAAGCCAGTCCTGCTCTCAAATTCACAGTGGCTTTTAGCAAATACATTATTTTTACTGAGGACCAGCAAAATTGTGCTACTCAGTGGCACTAAACTTCTGTGCCTATAGCCTAGCTGCATTTTTTTTCTCTAAGGTATCATTAAATATCTGAGGAGCATAGGCATCACTGTAGGAATGCCCTCATTAACAAAACATTGCTGCTCATGCCATCCCTCTCACGGAACTCTGTTCCTTTCATCTGCACTCAAAACACCTTTCTCTCCCAAGAAAAACTGTGAATTAATCTCTGTATGCTGCCAAAAAATTGATCTGTTGTTACTGAAAGGATGGCAATGACTACAAAAAGGGGACTGCTATTGCAAACAGCTTATCGGTGCTTTCGATGTGTGACAAGTTGTCCCTTCAGTAAATAGTCATTTTCTTACCCACTAAGAGTGTGGCAATATGATTAACTCGAAACTAATTTGGTTACCGGCACATCATCCCGAAGATTTACACTTCTGACTTCTCCAGAGTTTTTACTGAACTGATGGCTGTAACTGATATCCATCCAAAACCTAGGTGTTCTGTGGGAAAGGCCTTGTAGTTAAATTCCCACTGTAACTGCCAAAAATGCAGCTCCATTTATTCATATGAGAGACTGACAGTGTCCCATATCAGTGTTGTTTTTACTGTATGCTTGCATTCGGTAAGGAGAAAAAAAACAACACACAAGTACCACAGCTTTATTTAGACAGGAGGGACTCACAAGGAGAACAGGCTTGGAATGAAGCTACCTTTTCAATGCCTGTCATCTCTCACCAGTTTTGGATGATGTTCGGCTTCAGTCTGAATGTGGATTTGAAGGAGAAACTTGAGATGAGTGATCTGTAAGTGCAGGGTGTTTTTCCGGTGTTGTCTCCACGGAACTGTGACAAGCACTGCCCTAACCAGCCAGGCTGGCCGTGGAGCAGCACACTGTCGATGACGTACCTCTCTGTGGCTCCCCAGCTGCTGTGGCTCCAGCCTTTCCAATCGAATTTCAGCGAGGGACCGCGGGACACAGGACTTCCTGTGGTTCAGAAATGGTTTTATAAGTACAATTCTTATTTTCCTGAGGATTTCACCGGGTAAACAAGCTTGTGTTAGTAAATTCCCAAGTTTGCTTTGTCAGTGTTAACAGGGAAACTGCACATGGTCAGTACATTTCATAGTGGGAAAACAAGCATTTTGCATTTCATTGATGGTTTCCTGTCCAGATCCACCCTTTTACCTCTTTTCTGCCAGTTCCCTTCAAACCTCTGCATAGCGTATTTGCGAAGACGCACCACTGGAATTCATACTTGTCATCAACGCTTTTCACAGTTATTTCATAGGAACCCAGAATTGTTAGGGTTGGAAAGGACTTTTGGAGAGCATCCAGTCCAACCCCCCTGCCTAAGTAGGGTCACCCAGAGAAGGTGGCACATCAGCACCTCCAGGGGGGTTTGGAAAGTCTCCAGAGCGGGCGACTCCACGACCTCCCTGGAATTCCCCTTCCGGAAGCACGCCACAGACCCCGGAGCCTCCACAGCCCGGGCCGTGGAGAGCCATTTTTACCACCGCGATCCTCACCAAGCCGTCTCCACACTGCTCCTGGCAGAGTCCCTCCCGAGGGCACGTCCGGCTCCGGGCTGTGTCGGCGAGGCTCCCGAGGGGCTCGGCGGGCAGTGAGAGCCCGGCCGGGCGCGTCCCCTCAGCGCCTCCCGCCTGCCCCCTCAGCGAGCGCGCGGCGCCCCGAGGGCGGGAAAGCGCCGCGGGGGGGCCCTGAGGGGCGGGGGGGCGGTCTCGCGCCGCGCCTCGCTCCCGCCGCACGTGCCGGCCCGGCCGCACTTCCGGCCGCGCGGGCTCATCTGCGAGGGGCGGGGGCGGCCCCGCGCTTGCGCTCTGCGGCCGCGCGCCGGCGGGGCGGCCGCTCCCGGCACAGCGCGCGCCGTCCCCTCAGCCGCCCCGGCCGGCGGGGCTGCGGCTGCTCCGGCTTCCTTATCCCTCCTCCTCCTCCCTCCTCCTCGCCTTCCTCCTTCCTCCTCCTCCCCTCAGGAGCCGGCGGCGGGTGAGGAGAAGCGGGGGCCGCGGCCGGCATGTGAAGCGGGGCAGCCCCCTCGCCGCCTCCTTGCCTCAGGCTCTTCCCCGGCTCTTGCTGGGGCCCCGCTCGCCATGAAGAAGTTTTCCCGCATGCCCAAGTCCGAGGGGAGCGGCGGCGGCGGCGGCGGGACGGCGTGCGGCGGCTCCGGCAGCGGCGTGGCCCTGGGCAGGGCGCTGGCGGTGGGGCGGTACCAGGTGACCCCCGAGGAGCCGCTGGCCGAAGGTGAGGACGGGCCGGTGCGGGGTGTTTGGGGGGTGCTCTTTCGGCCGGGGGCTCCTTAGGGCGCTCGGAGTTCCCCGGCACGCTGCCCTGGGTGAGTGAGGCGGGGTGAGGTGTCACCAGCGCCTGTGTCAGGTTTCTGCCAGCTAATATGAGGGAAAAAAAACCCCAAACAAAAAAACACAGCAAAAATAAAAGGCATGGCCTTCCTTGGTGTAGGGCAGCTGGTTGCTGTCAGGGTCACGAGTGGCGGTGCGGTGCTGGCAGCTTGCGCTGGAGAGCTTCCCCTTGCTGCGGGGTGCTCGACTTGTGCTTCTTGTGGTGAACATGCACTTCGTGTTGTCCGACCTCCTCTGGGACTTCGGGAAGGGTCCCGGGAGTTTGTATAGTCGTAGGATTGTCTAGACTTTGTTAGTTGTACGACTTTGCTAGAAGCTGGAGTGGGTCACCAGCAAATCAGCCGTACTCCTGTGTGTGTGTGGGGGGGAAACAGTGTGGTCTTCATTTCCCACAGCTGGTAACCCGTGTGATGGATAAAATGCATGAATTCCCTTCCCAGGTCACTGAGCTCAGGGTTAGACCTGTCCAGTTCGTAGTTACAACACATGCTTTGGGTGTTGTGGGTAAAAATAATTCACCTCTGTCACTTTCATGTGTGTCGCTCAGACTGGTTTATGTGTAAACGTACTTGTAAACTTGGATTGCAAATGTGCATTTCTTGATGGAGATCTTAAGAGAAAGTTTTAACAACTGCATGCAGATAATATTACTGTTTAAAATAAGAACATATAGTAAGCACTTGTATTTTCATTGCTATCTTGAAAAGGTTATTGTAGATTAGCAGATTTGGAGTATTTTGAATCCAATATTTTGTAATTGAGGTATGAAGATGATGTCATGGCTTATCCACCAGCATAGCTGGTGACCTAAAGCATGAGTGGTCCTTGCTGAGGGCTACTTCCAAGTCATTGTGATCTGACAGACCGGAATTTCTCAGCAGAGCTGGTGGCAGGATAGAGACTTTTAAAAAAAAGTAATGACAATAGGCTCATGGACAAATTCAGGAGGTAACACAAACCCTATATATGTAGTGAAAAGGAGAGAAATTGCACAGTGCTTGATTCAGTTTAGCATGTTATTAAAATGTTTTCTCATATTGTGCTGTTTTAAGAGTCACTACAGATCACTTTATTTCTTTCTGTAGCTGACAGAAACAAATGGATAGTCCTTAAGGGCTTGGAGTCAGTTTAAAATTTGAGTGTCATGCAAATTATCTTCCTTACTTTTGAGTCTGAAATAAAAGTTGCGTATGGATGCTTGGGACAAAAACTGATAAGAGTCAGGGCAGTGTAAGCCTGCTGCGTCTTGGGGAAAGTCCCCAAGCCAACACCAGAGCTGTTCAGCAGAGAGGACCCAAAGAGGCCTAGAGGGAAGTAACAGGTGGGGTAACTGCGTGGTTGGGGTCACAGGGACGTGAGGGAGTGGGGGGGGCTGATTGGCAGCTCCCTGATTGTCAGGGAGCAGCTGGGCTTTAACAGGGTGTGTCCACTTGGGTGCTCCTAACTGACCACAACAGTTTATGCATCAAAAAGTACCTTTTCATCTAGGAATTACTTCTTGACAATCAATCTCTTGCCTTAGTAACCATTAATAGTAAGTATGTTACTGCTGTTACATTGGTCATATTGGTATCTGTAATTAATACTGAACACTATCAATCCCCTGTTTAGTAATCTTCTTCTTGGGAGGGCAGAGAACAAACTTTTTTCCCCTATTCTGTTTGCACAAGGCATTTCTTTCTTCCAGTTTCTGAATCCCAGTTTAACTGAGGCTCTGACCCTTGTCAGGTAGTTGCTGTTACTCAGTGCGGATGAAATCCCATTTAAGAGGTTCATATCCAAGTTATAGCTTGTGCTACGAAGCGTTAATGACACGTGAAGTTAATTAATCTAATGAAATTAACCAATCTATTTCATAGGGGATATATGATGTTCTGATAGCAGTGGTATGGTATATTGTATTGATTTTTTTATTTTTTAGCTATTGTGATTAATAGAATTATGTGTCTGATTCATGTTGTTTAACCCCATCCTCCTTCCAGATCTTGCTCTTAGGAAGGCAGCTGCTGGTTCTGTAGAGGGTTGAGGCTCCCGGTAACTAGAGTAGCGTCAGTCGTTGTGCTCTAAGGCTCAGGTTGTGAAGACCTTGTTAGGCTGCAGGGATGGATCTTTGGTAAGTTTGCCACGTTGATACCGAGTTGCTTTCAAAGTGCTTTTCCTGTAGTCTTTGACAAGATGATTTTTTTTTTTCAGTGTTTTAAAGGCAGAAGTATGGAGCATTATGATCTAGTTCTTTTGAATAAGTATAATGTTACCTAAGGTAACAGCATCCTTTTAAGTAAAGAAGCTATAAAGCTGAAGTGCTGTAGTTAGGAGGGAGTCGGGTGGCTTCTTTTGTTTTAAAGATACCTATTCTGTGGTGACTTCTTGGCCTCCCTAACCCAATGGTCAGTATGTTGTTGGATGGAGGTGTTTATTTTTAAGGCTTATTTCTCAGATATAGGGGAAAAGCAGTTAGTTTGGGTTAAGGTTTGATGTAGAATTCTTATCCATTTCAAGGGAATGGTAGAACTATATGGAATAAATGACTGATAGAGAGTGAAGGCTTTCTCTTTTAGTGTTTTTGTTGAACAAGATTATCTGCAATTCAGCTGAAGTTTGGAAAACTTAGTGACAAAAACATGGAGGGTTCTCTGCTGAAAGCTACAGGTGGTCCATGGGGACTTCGGTATTGAAGAAGTTCAGAAATGGCAGCAAACTGAAAGTGGCCAAGTATGAAACATGCTTTTAAATAGATAACCTTAAATGTTAATGCAAAACAGTGTATATTGTGATGAGTGAAAAGGAAAGCGAAAATTAGCAAGTTCCCAAAACATTTTTGGCTTAAATAAGGAGGAGGTAGAAAGTTGTGCCTTGATACGTGGAAACTACTACTTCATTGTTGGCCTTGATTAGACTTCAATATCTCCTTTTTGTTTAAGAATTGCAGTAAAACTGATTTTTCTGCGTTCTGTAACGGTAGGCGTTGGAAGATGCTAATTTGTTTTGTTGTCTTGATTGCCTGGCAGGGCTTGAGATGTTTAAACTGCATAAATAAATAAAGACTTGGCCAGGTTTAAAGTTCTCGTAGTACCACGAGCAGACCAAAGGGGTTATGGTAAGTGTTGTAATTTAGTATGTAGGTATGTTTTAACAAGTGCAGATAAAGCAGAGACAGTTGCAAGTGTTAAGAAAGAGACTGCATGTGCAATGTGCACTGGGCTTCCCAGCTTCCCTCTTGAACTTGACTGACTTTCTTTGGAAGCTCATTTGTGGGCAGGGAAAGACGGTCGTCATCTGCTTTTCATTTTCACTCAGGCTGGATTAATGGAATTGTGGGGCATGTGCTGTTGCATCTTATAAAAATAAAGCAGTGCTGTGTCCAGCCCTAGCCACCAGCAGTTCACCCTCTCGCCAGGCAGTCCACACTTAGGAGAGCAGAGGTGAGATGCCAGACACTGACATAGGAGGAACGGGGTGACGCTGTGCGCAGCTTGCTCTGGAAATACCCAGAGGGGATGGAAACTACCTCTTCAGTGTTGGGAAGCTCTGGATGGGATAGGGTGATCGTTCTGTGTTACCGCTCTTGTGCTGTGACTTTCTCGCTTTCCTTTGCCTCAGTACATGTGCCAAGCAGCTGTGTGGTAGTGGGTATACTGGTTTACTTTTTATCATTTGGACTGGCAAAGTGGTGAGTCTGGAGCTGTGTAGAGTTGAGCCTTCTCCTGCTGTAGCTTAGGAAGCTGTTGCTTTTTTTAATTGACCTTGTATCTGTCTAGGACTAGAGAGGAGGGGAAAAAGCCACTCAAGAGGTGATTGCTTATAAGTTCGTTATTTAATGTTTGTATAACACAGAATGTTTGCTTCATATAGTTTTCTGTGAAAAGGAGCCTTTCAATAGGGAGAAAAAGTGAAAGCCTTGAATGTTCCCTTTATAAAATTGTAAGTGGCATGCTCTTTTATAGTTTATCTCACAGAGCAAGCTCTCAGAGTAAAGCCCCATCCCGCTTGGCAGGTTTAGGGGAGGATAATTTGATTCACTCTGGGCCATGTGTGAGAGAAACAACAAAATTCTCAGGAGGCTCAATAACAAACTGGTCATTAATGCCCAGAGGGTGAATGTCTTTCTTCTCTTTTAGCCCCTCTGAGGGTCAGCTTGACTTTCTCCCAGAGAACCTTTCTACAGCTCTGGGTTACACCAGCCCCTGGGTCGGTCCCCGCCATTTTGGGGCAGCCCCTGGGTCAGTCCCCGCCATTTTGGGGCAGCCCCTGGGTCGGTCCCCGCCATTTTGGGGCAGCCCCTGGGTCGGTCCCCGCCATTTTGGGGCAGCCCCTGGGTCGGTCCCCGCCATTTTGGGGCAGGTCATGCTGTTGGCTCCCACCACTTTGGACTGGACCAGAGATTCACTAAGGCTCCAGGGACAGGGAGGGAGCAGTGGTTGTCCCACCTACGCAGAGCTCGCCCTGTTCCCCCTGACTTCTCACTTGGTTATTTCGAGCCAGTCAGTCATTCCTCCAGTCTCTTACACCAGTGAAGGAATGAGCTTCTTGTGAGCTCTGCTTAAATTGAGTATGTAGTCTTAGCAAGTACTTGGACAATACTTATGACTTGGTTCGTCTCTTAAATTCACACAATTTCAATCAAGGCCTAAGAAAACTGTCACCCAAATGGAGAGGAATTCAGGTCCTGTTTTGTGAGATTTTGTGCTGTGTGTTTGTAGATTTTTGTGCTGTTTAATTTTCAGTGCAAGTGTTTTTTCCTGGAGATTTTTCTTCAATTAGTTGTCTGAGGGAAGAAGGGGAGTCTTCAAATAGGATCAACATCACAGCAGTGCTGAAGGTAGAATAGCTTATTGTCCAGATAGGAGGTGTACCAAGTTTTTCAAAATCATTCCTGGAATAAGG